TGTTTTTGCCTACCCTCTGTAGATATTTTAACCTCTTCTACTTTCTGGGTCCCTTACTCTGTTTTCACAGGATCATACTCTGTGGTGAGTGTTGCCCAGACAGGTGTGCTCTTATCGAACCAATTCCGCACTAGCAGCCACTGTTTCACTATACTTATTACCTGTTGCAACTGGTTCTATAGAAATGAGGTGTTCCATAAGACTACCTAGGAGCTCACCAGGTGGTATTACCATACTATGCTGGACTGCTACTCATGGACTATCATGACTAAAGCTAAAGGAGATCCTGCCCATCCCTGCCAGTCATCGGTTTGAATTAATTGGGATCGGTTTGCTTTTAAAAAGTTAAGGAACTTGGTTCACTATTGCATTGTTTCCAGAGTATTTTTCCTCAGGACTCCTCCAACATCACATGTTACCCCCCTCCTCCGGATTCTACTAGTGGAGCTAGGGTGTCCTTACCACACCCGGTTTTCAGTCACTGGGGTGGTGGACAGAGGCTTTTCCTCCAGTGCTAATGTGAATTCCTCCACTCTCAAAGAAGAGTTCAAAGTTGTGGCCCTTCCTACCCAGGTCCCTGGATGTTTTTTCCCATATGCCGGTAGGAGCATCACCAGCCTACACGTGAGCCTTCTCATAATACTGATTCAGATTTGATGCTCGGCTAACTGGTTGGGGTGATTATGGCCCTTCTCTTTGATCAATATTGGTTCCGTACATTGTTCATGGAAGGGAGACCACTATCTTCTGATAATTCAGAATGCAGAGTGATCCCATCCTATGTCCTAGGTTGAGCACAGTTGTTCTATGTCTTCTCCATAATTCCTGGGGCAAATGGAATGCCTTTCAGGTTTCTTAAGGTGGAGAAAAAGGTTCATACACTTCTGTGTTGCTTACTTTTTTTGTCATCTATCAGGTGATTTGGAATGCATCACTCTATGGCTAGAGGTTGGGGTTCAATCAGTAGGATATATATATATATGTGTAAAGTTGCAGTCTATTTGCCCTAGCCACCAATGTAGGATATAGGGACCAAAACCCCTTAGTTTGAACCCCGAGTAGTGGAACCTCGGCTGTCTGGTTGGAGCTGGTCTATAGTGATGATCACCCATGTACAATTCCACCTTTGATACAGGAACTAAGTTCAGAGTGAAGAGCATACCTGTTCTGGATGTAGTGTGGTTCCCCCACTACGTTACCACACACCCATAATCTATGCAGATGCATTCTGTATGGATAATGCTCTCACTGGCCCCTCCATCTTCAATTTAAGAAAATGTTAACTTTGTATTAGGAGACTTTATTTTTAAATGAATATAATTATGACACAATCTTTCAAAAGTATTGAAATTACTATCAAATGTGCAATACATTTTTTATCATTATCAGTATTTCGTACATCATGTCAATGAACTTTGAGCTGACAGTATTGTGCAATAAGTGCAACTATAGAATATTCAACCAAAGCTTGGGGAAAGATGTGTTATCTAAGTAGATTTGAATGTTATTTTTTAACCCCCTCTTAATTTGAGCTGAATATAGGTTGTAAGATTTAGAAAATGCAATGCATGTGTTTCCAAAGGAGAGGATTTTTGATGATAGTTTGAAAAACAGCAGTTTAATGTTCCAATATTTGGGCATTTAAAATACAGTAGGCTTATTTAAACTACTGAAAACTTATGAAGATTCAGCTTCAAAACAAGTTATATAATTAATGGAATGTATATCTAGTACTTCTGTCACCACATTTTGGAATTCAGTCAGTGTTGTATATTTATGCATTTAAATTTCCTTTAAAAGCATGTAATAGCCAGGTATTCTACTGTTTGTTAAACAGTCCATTCTATCTTTTATAGTTTACTATCGTAAAAGTTAAAGTGTAACTTCCCTTCAGCATTTTCACATTAGACTGCCATAATCATATCATATTTTTTCAAAACTATTATAAGGAGTGTGTGATAATCTGAACTGATTCAAGACCGTATCTTTAACAATATTACTAAAAATTGTTTATTTAAAAAGGGTAATAGGGTTTGTCAAAACGTACAGAAACAAGTTGATTCAAAATGCAAAGATTATATTTTCAAGCCTACAACTAGTGACTCTAAAAAAAGTAAACAAACAAGGCTGGAAATAGTGTAACATGTTTTTTAAATGATTTACAACTTATATTGGTGTAAATGGTAGTTAGACATGGTTCAAAGAGCAATAAAACAATAAAATTTAAGGATAAATCATGTATACTGTTAATAGTTTAAAGCTATTTATTATCAATGAAACTGGTTTCATGTTAGAATTTGAAATCTTTCTAAGAAAGAAAAAAAGGGAAATTTACATTTATTTCAATTTTTTTTATATTTTGGTGATTATGAAGTCGGTTAAGTTTACCTATCTTGTATAGAGTTATTGTAGAGAAAATAACAGATAAGATGTAAATTCTTACTGAAAACAATCATTTGAAATGTATTTGGGAAGTTTTAGAGATTTTGAAAATGAAATTTGAGATCTTTGATGTGAAGAAAAGTATTTTTATTATTGTTATGACAGCGGAAGTCACGTGATGCTGGGAGCATACATGGTGAATTTCTCGAATAATTGGGGAACTCTACGAATGTTGGAGATGCCTCTTTGTTAGTATATAAGCCTGGCAGACAAAAGCCAGGGGATGATAAAGCAAACAATAGTTACGGTGAATTTTGGGTAATTTACGATTCTGTTTCGAGCTAGTGTGTGTTTTGCACTCATAGAGAGCGAAGTTATGGAGATTGTAAATCGCTGTGATTTATAGCATGTATTATAAAAATTGTTAAGTTTAAACTGACGAGAATTGTACTGATTGTGGAATTACTGTGTACTAAAAATTTGTATCGAGAAAGAATAAAGTGGTTTAATCAAGAAAGGACTTGTATCGCTGAAGTTCCTCGGAAAGAATGTCTACTGGAAATTAACAAACAAGAATATATGTAACAATATAACATGAAAAATCATTTTGCACTTGAACTAGTAAAACAAAGACTTGATATATTTATGGTCAAATCTTTTTTTTTTTAGTTTATTAAAAATATGTCACTAAAAATCTGATTTTTTGTATCTGAAAGATATAATGTTTACTGAAAGTCTGCCCAATTTGTAAAGATACACATACTATATTAAAAATTAGTAGTATCAAAATTATCATGATATTAAATGAGTCCAAGCTGGTCGCTTGGTTGGTTATTTTGATCAAGCTTTTGTCAAGAGAGTTAAATGTTGTATTAGTAAATTCTGGTGCTTTGGCTTTTTCGAGTCTTAACTTTAGGGATTTGTTTTCATCAAAGTTGGTATTCTTTAGGACAACTGCAGCTTTCGTAAGGTAGACTTGTTACATAATCAGTCTTTCGTTGTTTAGAATTTGAATTCTTGGAACAAAGATGTTTTACATATTGTTGATGTTTAAAATTTGGGAGAAGGTGGGTGGAAATGTCAGAGGTAAATGCTTGGTTGAAATTAATTTTAATTATAAAAATGTAAGTTAAAAACAGGTAGACTTACCCAGTGAAATCGGGGAGACAATTGGAGAGTATCACAAGGAGTACTGGTTCCCTAAAAGTAAGGATATTTTGCAGGAAGGTGACAACCTGAACTAAAATAAATAAATAAAGTAATTGTTATGTATTGGATATATTTGTTAACCATTCCATAAGTGTTTGAGCTTGAGAAATTATTTGATTATATAACACCAAGAATGATAAAAAATCATGGGCTCACTTTATAAAATGAAATTTTTTGTATGGATTTGTTCAGCTGGGATTCTTACATATTACATGTACTTCTGCATCTGTCCTAGACAGAATTCCATCCTCTATGCTAGTGATGCCCTCTGGAAGTGGACAGAGGATGCTAGTTGGTGGCTGATGATGCATGCCCTTGCATAGCATTCAAGACATTAGAGATGAGATGCCTTTTCTCAATATGATGTATCATAACTCCAACCAGGATGGATATTATTTCATACCATTATTTGTTTTTCTTTAACATTCATTGGACTTTAATAGAGTTGTCAGGATCATCTTTTTGTCTGCTTAGGTCTTTTTGAATTTCTCTGGGTGCCCACCATGTAAACTAGTTTTGTGAATTGGCTGGCCCTTTTCAGAGTAGGAACATGTTCAGTCATCAGTTATTACCAATCCCCTCCTCTGAGAATCTCCTACTATAGGTATAGGATAATTCTTTGCTCTCTGACTCTAATGCTTTTTACTCCACCACTTGTGATGACAGCTGAGAATTTTTATGGCTTCATAGGTTCTGTTCTTACTGGCTGACCTTCATTTATACATATCTTATTAAAGACTGTCCAGGATGAGAAGAATCCTTTTTAATTGTTCTTGCATCCAATCTACTTGAGGCTGTTCTGCTCTTGTAGATTCTCCCACAACTCCAGTCCATTGAATTTTTCTCTGATTCTGGATTCTGCTAAAGCTCTGCATGACTACTTAATTATTTTTTTGTGGTCTGAGCCTTACTTTTTAGAACCAGTGTTCCTTATGAAAATTTCTGTCTCCTTCTTCTGTTTCAGTGTGAGTGTGTATTCTGGCTTTAAGTATTTCAGAAATGAGTCTGCCTAATTTGAAGTTTACATTTTTATCATTAAAATTAATTTAAAACAGGTAGTTACCTCCATACTACATTACCACCCATTTTCCCACAAGTGGGAGGAATATATTGTATCAACATGACTGCAAAATAAGTAATTTGACTTCTAAAGGGAAAGGAGGGCTTTTGTACATTCTCCTGACACACAAGGAAGGTGGGAGAGTGGAAAGTTTGGTTAAGTTGGCATATGCTCTGCCTTGCATCAAGGACATTCAGAATCTAAAGTAACTGAACAAGAAAAGGCGTATGGTATTTCAGAAGTAAATACCTTTTAAAGATTCATTTTTGTTCTAAAAATGTAAACTTTTAATGTTCTGCTTGTATAGCATCACGTGTCTTGCTTAATTTGGTCATTTTACTCTTTACAGTTTTCCAGAAATTGAGTTCTTTCATACACAAGAGATTCAAGTCATGATGGTCGATATCTTATTCTCATATGCTCGAGAGTACCCAGCTGTTTCTTATCGTCAGGTGAGTTGTTATTTCTAAGTCGGTAATCATGCCTCTTAATGTTATGTAACATTTTTAACTATTATGTGTTCATTTAAGTAAAATATTGTACTAAAATATTTTGGTTCTTATTGTATGAAAAGGCTTTCTCTTACTTTGTTAAGCCTGACAGTTATTTCTAAATAATATACTGTCTATTAATCTGTAGGAAACAATAAATGGGGTTACTATCATATGCTTTATCTCCATTGACCATGATTATAGTAAAATTGTAGCTTTTAAAAAGTGTCTTTAATTTTATAATTTGTAAATGTGTTCTATCCCATACATTTGATGCTATATAAAAATTGCATTCTTTCATTACCATATTTTAGGAAATTGTGTTTATCCATTAAATATGTAGTAAATCTTAAGCATATTTATTTTGAAGAGAAACTTCCTGTTCCAACATGATACCTTACCTCCTTTCACATAATAGCTTTTTCACAATTTGTGTTGCCCTCTATATGCACAATTTTTGCTTGCCCTAGCTTTGAAACTCTCAACTACACTCAAGTGATTACATGTGGTATAGCTGTGCTGCAGCATGCAAATAAGCATGTGACAACCATCCACCAATGGGACTGCAACACACCCTCCTGTTGCAGCTGATTCCCTCTATACTGTAGAGCACTATCATCATTTCTTGATTTGGCATTCCAGTGTGCAGTTGTATTTTTTTCTTGCAAATTTTTTTTTATTTTGTGCATTATCAATTGTTTTGTGACTTTTTTGACAACTTTGTTGTCCTCTTGGTTTTTTGATCACTTAATTTTTGTGGAATTTTTTTCCACAACATGAATTTTCAATTCATTGTCACCACAACAATTTCAGTTATGATTCTTGCCACAGTTGAACAACTTGCACAGTAGCTTCAGGCTCTACTATGTCTGGAAAGGAGGATTTGTCCTTGGTTTACCTTGATTTGGAATCAATTATATGCAGTCTGCCATGTCTCCTAATCGATGACAAGATATCCTGTTTCTGGCCAATCCTAATCATGATGAGGATGATATGGACAGCCTATTCCCATCTCCTTCCTGTGCAGTGCAGTCTTATGCTACTCCTTTAGATGTTCCACAACCTTCCTGTGCCTTCACAGACATGCTTTCCCAGGTATGTTGTCTTTTGTCTCTTTCCCCTGTGTCATATGATTCCTCCTCTTCTCGCCTCCACTCTGCCCCTTCCTTGATTCATTTAGTTTTCACTCCCTCATTTGATATTTGAATCCATTTCAGGCCCAGTTATTTTCGGGGGCAGCATGCCTCCTCCTTCATGTTTTTTGGACTCTGATACTTTGGCTTATCATCTGTACATTTTTCCTTTTTAGACTCTCAGGCATTTGAGTCTTTACTTCAAGCTTTGGGTTCTGATTTTGAAACTACATTAAGATTCTTCCAAGCCCCATTTTCACATATTTGTCTTACTATCACCACTGTACTTTATTATATTCCCTTCATACATCTATCTGAGGCTATTCACCATTCCCCTAAGAAGGTTTTGGAGAATACTTGTCTCATTCTTTTATCCTTGTTGGCATGCTTATCTTCTTCTGCCCTTTCCCCTCATACTTAGCATCTTTGTTGTTGGGATCTCCTTTAATGATGCATTTTTGTCACACATGTTTGTTTGTTGTTCCAAAAAAAGACATGGGATTGGCATCCTATCATCAACCTATTCAATAACAACTGCTTCATTGACCTCCCTTGGCTCATTGTGGAGTCTTTTCTCACACTTTGGTGGGCATTCACTTTGGGTGTCTGACTGATGAAGGTCAATGTCTCTGTTGCATACTTTCATACCCCTATCTCTCTAGCCTCCAGACATTACTTTGTTTTGTTCATGGAGGTCGAGTTTTCCAATTCTGTGGTCTACCTTTTAGACTGGCATTGGCACCTTATGTCTTTTGTTGTGTGGTCAGAGCCTTTGCCCACCATCTTTGCAACCAGAGTTTGTGGTTATATTACAACTTGGATGACTGGCTACTTTTAGCCCTGGTCCAACAAGCCTCTCTCACTCAGTCCCATTTCCTCCTCTGGGAGGCTGCTTTGGCGTAATGGCTAGTTGAGATTGTGAAGTCTTATCTCAACCCCACATGGTATCTGATCAATTTAAGGGTGTTTTTCAACACCCTCCTCAGCAGGGTCCTACCTTCTCCTTTTCATTTGCAGTTGATGGAACTCTTTGTTTTCAAAACCAAATCTTCTTTTTCTCTCCCTGCACATGAACTTCTATCTCTTTTGGGGACCTGGGTGTCCATGGAAGCATTTATACCCTGGGGTTATGCACACATGCATAGTCTTCAATAGGTGTTGTACAACCAATGGAATCTTGTTTGGGATCCATTGGATTCCATCCTCCTCCTCTCTTCTTCCCTTTAGGCTCATTTATCCTTGTGGCTTAACAGAGACAAGACCTTGTCTGGTGCTCCATTGCCTTCTCCCTGTCCCTAATTGCACCTGTTCACAGATGCTTCTCTCACAGGTATTATTGGGAAGTCCTGGGCCATTGGTAAGTGATCAGATCTTCCCCCACATCATACTCTTGGAACTTCTTGCTGTTTGTTGGGTGTTGGCTCATTTTGGTGCTATTTGGTAATCATCCCTTCCAACAATTTGACCATTGTCTTATACATCAATTATCAAGGGCACACCCATTCATGTTTACTTTATTTTTGAACATTGTATTTTGTTTCTGAGCCCAATCTCAGAAAATCTGCCTTCTGGTTTGTCACATCCTGGGTTCTCTGAATCTTGTAGCAGATTGATTATCTCGTCCCCACAAGATACTGCCCATGAAGTGGTCCCTCACTCCCCAAGCTTTTTATGTGGTTTTGTTTCCAGGTTGGTACTCCTTTTCTGGATGCAGTTGCCATTCATTTCAATTTCAAACTTCTCCTCTTCTGATCTTCAGTCCCACATCCTTTGGTTTTGTCTGTGGATGCCTTCGGTCAGGATTGGACCAACCTTTACCTTTATTCCTATCCTCTTATCTGTCTTTTCCCTCATGTTCTCTCCCTGATCCAAGCCACTTTGTGTTGACTCCTTCTCACTGCCCTGTTCTAGTCTGCTCAGCCATGATTTCTGATCCTGACCCTCCTATAGTCCTCCCCTCCATTACCTCTTCCTGTGTGCTGCACCCTTCTCTGACAACCTCAATCAGCTATGTGTGTCATCCTGTAATGGCCTCTCTAACTTCATGCGTTATGTTTGTTCAGTCCCTTATGAGGTGATCTGAACTTTCTGTGTAGCCTCCCTTTCCTATTCTGTCCCCTCTTCCTTGTTATCTGTTTACCAGAAAAAGTGGTGCATTTATGCTGTTTGATCTCTGTGCCATGGTTTATTGCCCAACTACCTTACTGTTCCTCACCTTTTGGAATTTTTTATCTTTCTATTTGATAATGGTTTTTGGTGTCCACTGTTGTAGGCTATAGAGTAGCCTTATCCAATACTTTCATTTTCCCCATTCAGGCAGCATTTTTCTCCTCTCCTCTCCTGTCTCTATTGTTCTGCTCATTTTGTCTTCTTCATCTATCCTAACCAACACCCCTTCTTGATTGGAGTCTCATTGTGTTTCTCCATGCCCTTACCCTTCCTCCATTTGAACCTTTGGTTATCTGCTTCGTGTTCCACCTTTCCTTAAAGACATATTTTGAACTCCTTTTTGCATGTGGACATTGTTAATTGGATATCTTCCCTCTTGATATCTCCCTTATCCTGTATCAGCATACCTATGTTCTCCATTATTTGGATTGTAGTTTTTCCCGAAGACTTCTGCTGCTGATGAAAGGGGACATCATCTTCACCCGTTTTTCTCTCCCATCTGTTTCGCATTTGTATTTTCATTCCGATCCAGGTCATCTTCTTTATTCTGTACATGCTCTCAGTTGTTACATCTCCTGCACTGTTTCCTTTTGTACTCTCTGTTCTGGCCTCTTTTAACCCATGAAATTACTCAACCTGGGATTTCTCTCCACTCACCCATACAGATTGGTTATGCCAACTTAGGTGGCTGTTTTATGCATCCTTGTCTGAGGATTCCCAATGGATTTTCCAGGTCTCCTCACACCAAACCCATCATCTTACCCTCTAGCCCACTACTTAAATCAATTGGCTGTCTCCTCTTCCTCTGGCTATCAATTACTGTTCATGACCATTTTCCACACTTTTTTGACTGTGAGTGGATAAGTTATTTTCTTTCTTACCGTTATAGTAGCCTTAATAGGTCTTCACATATGTGGTTGATAGGATCCCTCCTCCTGTTGCAGACTCGATGATAAGTGCTTCCAGGTTTTGGACTGGAGTTGACCCACCACATAGTATTCCTCTTCCTACCATTGCTCGGATGTTGGGTTACAGGGTGGCCTGTTGTTAGTCGTGTACGGAGTCTGCAGATGTGTGCCTGACCTGGGTTTTTCAAACAAAAGCTCATTTACTTTTCTGGTTCTTGGGCCTGAGATGAAAATGGTAGGGACCCTCCTCCTTCTGTAGACTGGATGACACATTCCTGACACTGTCTGGTTTTGAACTGGAGCTGATCCACTGATTACTATATGACACATCCTTACGACTCTACACCTTCTAGAATGTCCAATTATCTTTTGGATGTGCATTTTTTTTCTGCCCAATTTGGGACACATATCTTTACAATTGGGAAACATTATACCTGGTATAGATGGGGACGGTCTCTCACGTGTAACCCTTCCATTAGGGTATTACACTCCATTGCTTCTCTATGGGTGCCATCCAAAGAGGGCTCATCTAGGTAATTTTTGCCCAGGCCTTTCCACCATTTGAATGTAAGATTCTAGTTATTATGTCAGCAGAGGTAAGGTATTATGTTGGAAGATAAATTTTTTGAAAACTGAAAATGTATTTCCGATAGATTCCTCTTCTCCTACTTTCCATCCATCCTCCCCACTTCGGTTGCATCATTTTACCTAATATCAAAGGAGTCAGTTGTGTTAGTAAGGTGTGTCACAC